CCCCCCCCCGCCCCTGCCCCTAGTACTTACCAGCACAGAGTCAGGTGCAGCTCCCTGCTGCAGCCACCGGAGACTGCCTGAATCATCAAAGCTCTCCGAATCTTTGCCGAAGATTTGGAGAGCTTTGAATCAATTTGGACCTTTAAATCGGTCCCCTGATTCAATTCAGATTTGGAGACTCGGCCACCAAATTGGGTCAAATCTCCTCCGAATCAAATCACCACCTGAAGCTTCGTGCAGCCTTACTGGACACCTTGACTGTGAAGGTGTTTTTCCTGGTATTAAGCCTGAAGCGGCCTTCCAGGAGTTTATATCCATTGGTCCTGGTCTTCCCCAGGGGTGTCTTAGTGAACAGTTGTTCACCGATCTCCTGATGCAATTATCTTGTTGCGCTTTAAATAGTGGATTCTAAATCCACGCTTTAATGAGAAAGAGGAGTCATCAGTTCAGGGGATATAAATGTTCTCTTAACTTCATAGTCCTGTCCCAACTTCAACTGCTTGGAATAGTCAAGGATTTTCTAAAGAAACATGCTTTTGTTAGAAAATGTTGGTTGAAACTGAAATGCTTGCTGGAAATATGCCAGTTTAAATGAATTTTTGTCAAACCACAAGCAGGAGTTCAACAGGAATCTGCCTAATTTCCTGTGAGCTCACCTGGCAGGGGGCCGCAAGTGTCTGTCACTCCAAGGCAGTCCTGTTTTATAGATTATCCGAGATTGGGGGCCAGACAACTTCCAGACTTTTGAACCAGATGGCTCCACAGAGAGCCCGAGTCCCACTGGGCTCCCCACTTGTGGCTAACTCCAGACTGACAAGAATCACGCTGGCTTCACTCTGTAGCAGCAGTCCTGTGGAGCACTGCTCCTTTCAGAAACATCAGGTGTCAGTGTCTCTGAAACAATGTTTCTTGGTATTGGGGTTTCATAGAAAATTAAAAAAAAAAAAATCAAAACGCTGGTTTTATTCCAAATCAGAAAGTCCAATCATCAGCTGGGAAACACTCAGCTAGGTCTTGTTACAAATGTTCAGGGAGCTGGGATGAATACTCTGTTCACAGGTCTTCCTACTGTTTATTTCCATTTTATTTTTCAACCAACCAATTCATTACTAGCAAGTAGCAGGTTAACTCCTGTCTCTTATATTCCCAACGCACTCAAGAGTAAGGCTGCATCGTCATTTCTGATATCTTTTTCACTCAGTTGGCAAGGGGTTGCAACTGTTCTTCTGTCTTTTATTACTCTTACTGCTGTCATTCATTTGCCAATTTTGAGAGATTAATGGGAAAAACCTTCTAATGAAATACAAGCCTGAATCCTTTCCAACATTATATTCTCACTTATTTCTCCTTCATTCAAGGCAAGAGAAGGAAATCAAAATCTAGAATAGGTCATAATTCAAGAGCTGTAGTGAATCTGGGATTTTATCAGCAAAAGGCTAATATTTCTTTTGAAATCACAGTCTTTAACTCCATCCCATCTCCCTTTTTCTCATTTTCAGTCTATCTTCCTTATGGTAGTATCCTGGTTTCTAAATAATTAACTGAATAGATCACTCCTCCTCACTTTGGCTGTTAAGTACCAGTCATTGTTAAAAGGCACACGATGGATTTACAAGCTTGCATTGATATTTTACTCTTTGGTAAGTAGGGTTTTATGTCTTAGGACAACATTTGCACATAAATCGGTTCTCCTCTGCGGAATATGGGATTTTTCACTTCCCAAGTATATATATATAATCTCTGAATGTCACTGAACCACTATGTTCTCTGTTACAGAGCAAGTAGCTTGCTTTCTAGCTAACATACACATTTTTAAACATAAAACATATGGTATCCCACAACAGCAATTGGAATTTGCAGTGCTGATTTAATTTTTTTTTTACCTTTAAATCCATATTTCTAGA